ACTTATTATTAAAAAAAAAAAATGAATACTACATAAATATAATTTTGTAATGGCTGGATCATATACATATATCTCTATATGTAAAACTGTTTGTTCTGTCTGACTGGCTGGTGACGAACGCACGGCCCAAACCGTAAGAGCTAGGAGCTGAAATGTTCACTGTATTTACTTTATGTGATGAAGGAGCACGTTAAGGCGGGGTTTCGGGAAATTCCACTTGCATGTGTGGAAAAATCGAAAAAAGGTTTTTGTGCAACTTTTTTGTTTTCCATCCGATCGGCCTCAAACTCATTTTAAAAGATCTTTGTTCAAATTCATTTGCGGGTGTTTCCCACTTTTCGAAAAATGCATTTCTCCTTGACGGAAATGGGGGCCAAAGATTTGGTGATTGACGTTACGTTGTCAAATTTATTTCTAAAGATCTACACGAAAAATCATTTAAGACGAGTTTTACACTTTTCGCAGCATCAAAACTTACTCGGTAGAAAATTCAATTCAAAGATTTTTTGGGCAGAGTTATAAGTTTTGTCCGATTTGCTTCAAACTGATTTTCAAATCTCTACACAAGAACTTAATAAATACGTGCTTCAGCGATTTGGCAAAAGTTTTTTGCTTACCATCCGATAGGCTACAAAGACATTTCCAAAGATCTTTGTCAAAATTCATCTGATGAGTATTTCACACTTTTTGGAAAATGCATCCCTCCTTGCTGGAAATGGGGGTCAAAGATTTGGTGAGTGGCGTTTCGCGTTTAAATTTATTTTCATGGATCTACATTTTTATGTATGATCATAATCATTTGAGACGGATTTCACATTTTTGGCAAAATCACAGCTTTCACGGTGGAAAGTGCAATTCAAGGAATTTTTTGGTTAAGTTTTTAAGTTTTTCTCTTCCCTCCTTGGTGGAAATGGGGGTCAAAAATTCGCCCTCAAATTCATTTCCAAATATCTATATGAAAGTTCATTTGAGACGTGATTTTCACTTTTCGCAGAATCTAAAATCCTTCGATAGAAATGCGATTCAAAGATTTTTTTGATGAAGTTTTAAGTTATGTGCAATTTGCTTCAAACTTATTTTCAAAGCTCTGCATAAGGACTTAATGTATACGTGTTTCAATGATTTGGGAAATTCCACCTACAACAGTGGTTAATTAGCGAAAAACTTTTGCATGAAAGTTTTTTTTTTTACCGTCCAATCAGATTACAAATTATTTTCAAAGCCTTTTGAGTAAATTTACTTTAAACGTGCCACGGGCAAGGCCGGGTTATACCCGCTAGTATATATATATATATATAGATATTTATATATATATAGATATATTTGTAGCGGGTATAACCCCACCTTGCCCGTGGTACGTATAAAATAAATACGAATACAAATTTTTTTGTATCTTTATATCTTTTTGTATATACATATATATATATAAATATGTATATATATATACTCAATACTTTATTGAATATCACTCTTTCACCATAGAATTTGTCGTGGTGTATCCAAAAAAAATTTGGAAACTGAATTTCTTAGTTTAAAAATTAAAAATGTGTTGATATGATAATTTAAAGAGCCTAGAAATAACAATTAATAACACCCCTAGTTGGAAGGTTCATATCAACAAAATCAGTAGCTTTGGTCAGACCTATGAATTATTGAAATTACAACTACTATGAGGTTTTAATAGCGAAAACCTGCATTGTGTAAATGTTAATGTATATAATATAACTATTTAGTGCTTCAGATACAGCAATTTTGCATAAGCCTCAAACTATTTTATTAATATTACTTGACATGTTTTTAGCTTACAGAGAAATTTTTGTATAGAATATACAATCTCACACTCCTTGATTTGCTTTGATTTGTTTGATCTCGTCGGACCTACAATTTTATAATAAACTGGCAAGCTTCTATAGGCAATTGAGCATGCTGTTCGAATATGTATTCTAATCCCGCAATAATAGAAATGACTCTCAAATCACACCTGCAACGTTGATATTTAATTGATGAAATGAATTAGTTAATTAATTGATTTTATATTAAAGTGTAAATGTAGTCAACTGCATGTTAGTATATATAAGACAGGTTAAATAAGTCATTAAATATTACATTTTTATGTTAGTGACCGGTGCCTCAATTATAAGTTTTTCCTTGTTTGTGTAATTTAGATTCATACATAAACAAATGCGTTTAAAGTGCGCACATTCATCTATGAAAAGGAGGGTCAAATATTTGGTAGGCGAAGTTTCGTTTAAAAATGAATTTTTTACGATCTTTATGTAAGCCGATTTAAGATGTGTTTTACTCTGTCAGCCAATTACACCCCTCCTGAGTGAAAATGGGGCAGAGATTTTTTGGTAAAGTTTCAAGTTTCGCCCGATCACCTTCAAACTTACTTTCAACGCTCTACATAAATCCCTAATAAAAACGTGTTTCAGCGAATTTCCACCCGTATATATGCAAAAACTAAGACCGTACAAAGTTAATATACATATATGAAAAAAATGCATATAATTATCTCGTTTTAAAAAATATTTTCTCTGAATAAAATATTTTGTATTCTGTCGTCACGGGGGTGACATACCTAAATGTTGTGCAAGCATTGTTATTGAAAAAACAGCCAAATCAAACGAAAATCTGTAATTAAGAATAACTCAACTTACTACGAGCCATGCATTTTCCCTTTTTTTTTGTTAAAATCTGTCGTTTGTTTATTTAAAGCTCATAAATCAATTCTATCAAACTAAATCATTACGTTTCGTTCACAAAATAAACAAATGATTCTTTATGCCTTTATAACTTTGAGGATACTTCTGCCCAACTTGGAGGTCAAATTTTCCAGCTTCGGAGCTTTAATAGGTTTTGGATGTCTGTCGATCACCAACTCTTCAGTCATATATATCGATCAGCATATATCGATAAGCCAAATAAGTGACTCAAACAAAAGTGATCGAGGTGGAATTGCCCGACTAGGGGATACCTTTACCTTGTTTTTCTAACTATATGTGATCGATTGCCTTGGCTTTATGGTTTTTATTTTTTTTTAGTAAAGGAATATACTAGCATCAATAAAAAAAATATTAAAAAAAAAAAAACGTTAGTTTCCCTGCCGGTATCGACTTCGTAACTAATTTTAACCGACCAAATAACGTGCATTCGCTCCAAACATCACAGCAAACATCACCAAGTTTTAACGAAAAAACTGGATTAATATAACAGCACATGCAAACAACTCAGCATAAAATACAATAGTAACTGCAATTATAGTATAGAATTCAATTTTTATGGCAGTAGCCATAAAATCAAAAAAATTCTAATCTGTATATTCTATTCTAGAAACTACGTATACAATTTGGTGATTTAAAACGTAAGAGTTTTGATCGAAAAACAGGATATTATATTAATTTTTATTGCTTAGAAACAGGGCAAGTTATCGGTGATCAGAAACAAGAGTATATTTGTGCAAACTTGGGGCAGATCACCAATCAAACAGACAATAAGTCTGGACAAACTTTCTTACATTTATCGAAAGAAGGCGAATTTATTTACTATTCGCCTAATTAAGCTTAATGTATACCTGTTTGGCCTTGCCCCAGATAAATAAGTTTTTTATACAATACTAGCGGGTATATTCCGGCCTTTCCTGTTGCTAGTTTTGTGTTTAACATTTAAATGTATCTCTTTTCCCAACCGTGGAAAGTTAAATCCATATAGAAATATATTAAAAGTCCATCGAGTAAAGAACCAAAAATTGGAATCAATAGTTTCCCCTCCCATTTTAGCTTTGAGCGAGAATCTGAAAGCCATTGACCCGCACTTTTCGGCTAAGCAAGTGAATTTTGCGAAAAACGGATCAAAAACGTATCTGAAGATGACTTTGAAGTCGACCGATAATAAGCAAAAAAGTTGCAAGTTTCCTGCCAAATTTGCACAGTTGCGGGGGGAATTTCCTATATCGCTAAATTTTCGAAATGCTTTGAAAAAAAGTTTAAAGCTTATCAGACAAAACTTCAAGCTTCCCCCAAAAAAAATTTTAATTTTCCATCGAGAGTCCTGCATTTGGCGAATTGTAAAAATGATTTTTCGTTAAGCATAATAAATGTAAATTTATTCTTTGCAGATGAACTAAGCATCAGCGGATAGTGAAAAGTAGTTCGTTCAAAATTGATATGTCGACCACGGTACCATAGCAGTAAACGGCCTTTTTTAATTTATGTAATTACTGTCCATCTTAGTACCTTTCACGACTGGCGGTTCTCCAACAAAATCTACAATAAGCTTGTTTTACTACGAATTTTATTGCTTTTAACTTTGACATTTTGAACTTTCTACATAATTATAGTACTTTATAAGAAACCTACCCAATGGCTGAGAATTGTACTCAGATTGGGTAACCTTATCCCTTGCATAAGTTGCAAGAGCAGCATTTTCGCTTATACAGAGTCGGCTTGCTGGCTGTAGATTTATAGCTTATGCTTCTTCGTAGTTTATATCTTTTTAATAGCTTATATCTCACGTCGCTGGTGACATTAGCTTCAGTTATGTTTTGATAGTCGAACATCGATTCACGCTGAGAGCCCGCCACCGGGACACCAACAACATTAAATCGAGCAGGACGCCTACCGATACCTTTACTGGATTCATCGTAGATTCATTGCATAATTTACATTTGAAATTTTGTTGCCATTAACATGAGAAACACAGCCTATCCGTCGGATTTAAATATTCTCATCGAATAAAACGCCGTTATAACTACCTTATATAATTATTTTAAATTTTTTGCCTGGTGTTGCATAATTTCGGCTGATATGTTGCCATAATAAAATATAATTGGAGAGCTTGGATAAGGAAATGAACACGTTACCCTCTGAAAATAATAAGTTGTTCTAAATTGCTCCCCACACGTTGCGCTGAATAAAACTTCACTTCTTATTCGCTACATGCTAATTATAGCCATCGGTCAGCCACATTATAGATGTTTAAAGAAATTCGGTAATACCAACCTTGCTCGCGTAGCACTTTAACTGCTTCCAAAACTCGCTTTGTATAAATGCATGTCTCATAGTTGTCCATTTCAGCCTCAACAACATTGCACACACGGGACGATCGGCCTTGAATGGATCCAGCAGTTCCACGTAGATCCTTAGCGTCCCCAACTTGCAACGCCATGACACATTTGTTTACATCTTCAAGAATATGATTTTCGGAAACAGCTAAAAAATCATCAATGGTTGTAATGTCATCGACAGCTTCCGTTAATATCCGAACTTGCACCTCCCATGCTTGGCGATAAGCAGACATGTTCTCTTGGGCAACCTTTGAGTTGGGTCGAACCGTGAGAATTGATGCAGCATTTATTACTTGGGGGCATAAGCTTTCGATCTGGGCCGCCGCATAGCGGACCATTTTCACCCCGTCTTCGTTATTTGACATACTGCACACGAGGTTAGCAACTTCAACTAATTTTTCAGCATGCTTCGTAAATATCTCAGCTTTTTCCCTCACTTTTTTTTCATTACCAGATTTAGCGGCTTCAATTAAGTCAATTAAAGGCGTAGTTGTTTCCAAAAAGGAATCGGACACGTGATCAACAACTGCTTTGCGAAGCTGCCGACGCAGATCTCTAGTTTTGCGACACATTTGATCAATGGCACGATCTAGAGCGGGGCTGTTATCTTTTTGACCCATCTAAAATAATATATGTTTGTTAAATATAATCTAAAGTTATACATACATATATTAGCATTCTGGCTTCCAAATAACTTACGTTTGACATGTATTCAGAAAGGAGATCTTGTAGAGCCTGGCGGACGGCATTGCATTCGGCAACAATTCTTTCTCTGCGCTCGTCCCTTGTACAGTCTGCATCGGCCATTAGTGCAGCAGCACTAATAATACTTTCTAAACGTTCTTCCAGCAGTTGACGTGACCGTTTATCACTGTATGTCATGGGATCAATTATAATACCCTCCTAAAAATTGTAAAAGCAAATAATTAAGCAACAATAAGATTTACTAAAATAAAAGCACCCACGTCAAAATCGTCCAAGGCTGCAGCTAGTTCTCCTGCACCACTATAAACATCGGTAGGCTGTGATGATTTGCCCTGGGCCACATCGCTAATCGTGTTAACAGCATCGCACACTTGTTTTAAGATAAAGTCTCTGTTGACTTTGGCCAGATCTAATTCTGGATGTCGAACATAAACTTTTGATGCAGTCAGGAGCATTGTTGAATGCTTTTTAAGCATTGCACGTGCGGCAGCTAAGTCATCCCTCAATTGTGGATCCTTTAGTTCTTGTTGACGCTTTGCTGCTTGTTTGATGAGCTCTCCAGCGTTACGACCGAATTGCTAGTTTATCAAGGTTTTTTATTTGATACCTTTATTTTTTTTTAGCTTAATGTGAACTTACCCGCATGTTGTTCATAAGTTCGTCTTGGCTTGATGCATTCTTAAGTTTATTAAGATCATCTTCAACAATGTGAAGAGATTTAAGCAACAAATGAACATCCACCATATCTGCTAAAATTAATAAGCGTGTTACAGCTGAAAGCAGATTCCGTGCTGCTCGCACCATGTTCCCTCTTTTTAATGAACTACATGGATCCTCCGAAAACTCCCTTGCTGCAATGCTCATGGCATCTCCTGTTTTACGCACCTCGTCGACGGCAGATAACATTTCTTGCGTTATATCCGGATTCTCATACGCAATTTGCTCTCCCTTCTGTATAAAATTTTCTGTAGCTTTTTCAACAGCAGCAACTAGTGCACTCGCCCGCTTTGATTTTCCTTAAAAATCAAATAAAAAACTTAGTAACAAGTAAGAATAGATGCACAAAAAGGCACACCCCAGACATGTGCACTAAATTCTGCAACAATGCATTTTCAATTTTTGAACGAGAAATTCAATAATTATTCATTTCTGTTTACAATCCGATCAATATGAAATTGTCAGGGATAAATATCGTGGATACATTGTTTATATGCCAAGCACAAATCTAAGCCTTTGCAAATTTTACAAATTTGGAAACTCTAACTTCTCTTATAGACTCCGAGATATTATTATAAACCTAACCTAAAAATCAATTTGTATATATTTCGTAGAAACAGAATGATAACTCGTACTGCGCGGGCAATTGGATTTAAAACATCAAAACTCTAGCTCTTATAGGTTCTGAGATCGACGTGTTCATACATACGGACATGGCTAGATCAACTCGGCTATTGATGCTGATTAAGACTATATATTTTATGGAGTCGGAAATGCTTCCTGCTGCCCTTTACATACATTTGCACAAAAACATTATATGTTTTTACACATTTTCAATAGGCTAAGGATATAAAAACAAATAAGGACGTTTTAGTCGAGTGCAACTGACCATAAAATAACAGCTCAAAGCAAAAAAGAAAGCGTAACGATTAGAAGGGCTTTGTTCAAAAACTTTATTGCGGACCCAATATTTCTATAGATCTATATGATAATAGTTATCAAATGTTAATATGATTTGTGTACGCTAGGAGCAATGAAGGTGACAACTTCCCATTTCGGTTAGAATATCCTAAAAGCAAGTAAGAGTGCTCTAGTTGGGAGTGTCCGACTAGGGGATACACTGAACTTCCTGCTAACAATGACAAATGAAGCTATAAATACGCGCTCTTTTGCTTTAGCATAAAAACCCAAGTAAGAGGCTCTTTTTTTTTTTTTTTTTTTCTTTTACGCGAATCCCGATGCAACGTACTGCATCCCACCTCCCGCCCAACCGACCGAGGGGCGCAGTCGTGTAACGTACGACACGAAATGCAAAGTAAATATGAAAAAAAAAAGTCGATACAAACTACGAGTATGTGTACAAATACAATTACAAATAAAGATAGGACTATCTACTTGCTAAATAGTTTAGAATAGAAGACTTTATACGAGGAAGTCGGGAGTTCCCGACTAGGGGATACCCTGACCCTCTTCTACCAACACCATCTATTGAAGCTCGCGCTACGAGCCCATTTTCTTTAGCATAAATACAAATTAATTACAAATAAAAAAAAAAGTTCCCTAGCCATACCAACAATTTATATTCGATGAGAAAAAAAAAAACGAATTTAAATGGGATCACATGTTGGTAGAATTCAATAACGACGCGCATGAATGTGTGTGTGTACATGTATATAGAAATTCTTACAATTGTACAAAAAGCTGATGTCAATTTTGGTGACTCTAAAAACCAAAGAGACTTGCTCAAAATATGGGATTTTGATATCGATTTTTATCGCTTACTTGGAAACGGGGCAAGTTATCGACTATCAGAACCAAACTCGTACTGTGCGAACACTAGGAGGATCTTAGTTCCAATTTCAAGACTCTAGCTCATAAAGGTTCCGAGATCCTCGCGATCATACATACGGACGAACATGGCTAGACCGACTCGGAACTTAAGTAGCTGCACATATACATAGCACGGTATACGATACAATCGCAATTGCAATTCTATTTTTATGTATGCATTTAATAACTTATGGAAGATCTTGATCGATATTGGTGAAATTATCAGCAGTAGATCTAATTGCACGATAAAATATTCGTATATTATCATGTATTAACATTTAGTCTAGATGGACAGAACAATTTAATTCAGTATTGCTTCCGTCTATTGTTCTCTTTCTCTCTATGAATGAAGGGTCCTTCTAAGGTTGCAACTGAGCAAACAAATTAACAATTAACATAAAAAACAGCGAAGAGTGCAAACAATTGACACATGTCTCCAGCAACATATTGTTAAAAACCTAAAAAAGTCCTTTCTTTAAACGCAAAGTTTATTGCGAGTTTTATTAAGTTTGCAAAATAACATAATTTTATTTGAACACCCAACTTAATGACCAACTTCCTTATATGATTTTTCATCCAATATCAAGTTTTTGATGAGTTTACGCCTTTCCGATTTACTCGTAAAGCTTACAGGGCTTCCGGTGTCTAACAATGCAAAAATATTGTTCATTTCAGTGCATCTCCCTTTACAAGGTAGTCTTAGACTTACTAATAGGATAAATGATTTATCGTTTGTGCCCTCCTCATCATGGCATCCCCATGGCAGTAATACTGCCGCGCTTTGGGCACTGCTTGTATTAGCGGCCAATTTAAAAACAATTGAATCAACCTTCTTCCTTCTTCTGGTCTTTTGGGACGCACGCAATCCTTGATGCCCTATTTGACGGCAGTACTAATATCTAGTCTCAAGAATTGCACTCATAGTGGCGTCATTAGGTGCGCGAGCTGCAACAGATGCCTGAAAGGTGCTCAACATTGAACATCGTCTATATCCACATCCTCGACATCGTTGATATCCACACGGCGACGTCGATTGGGTGGCTCAACTCCGCTTTCCAGTTCGAAAACACGTGCCATTAGCTCTGCAAAATTTTTATGTGCAGTGTACACGGTGATTTCATTTATTACGAACGCGAACTCATTTGAAACATTTACTTCTGAATTAGCGACATTCCCATGGCCAGGTTCATCCTCATGCAACTCTGCAGGCTGCTCGTTGTGGGCGTTTTCATAAGGCTGTTCCAACAGTTGACCCGACTCAAAACATTCCGCATTTATATCCAAAGCTCCTGACGTACTCGGTGACTCTTCTCCGGAGACACGCGATGTTTCAACAGTCTCGGCCATTACTGATTTCACCAGTGTACGCAACTGGTATATAGTAGTTTCGTTGCATACAGGAACTCCTTTCTCCGAAAGCAGCGGCTTAAGCTCTAATTTTGTCAACTTAATGATATCGATGGGAACTTTTGGGTAAACCTTACACCAGATTTGTAATCTTCTTTATTTTTATTTACTCGTTTTTCTACATATCATGAGTCGGCGTTACCTCGCGTTCTCTTCTTATTTTCTTAGAGTGCCAAGCTTGACTTTTTACAATAAAGTTATATATAGTTTATACTACTATTGCTTATAAAACACTAGATGTTGTGGCTGTTGACTTTTAAAAGTTTACATTAATGTTTACTGTTTACAACTGTATTTACCTTATATGGTAATATTGGAAAAATGCACCAGCTAGTATGGAAAAATTGTGTTAAACGTTTATATGTTATTTTTTGTTTACACTATATCTGCCTCAAATTCATTTTCAAATATCTTTGTTCGAATTCAATTAAGGGGTGTTTCACACGTTTGGAAAAATGCATTCCTCGACGGTTCAAATAAGGGTCGCAGATGGTGGGTGCAGTTTCGCGATCGAGATGCCTCTCGACGGCTTCTTAATGGTTATTACTGTTGCCAGGATGAGCACGAAAACCTTTCTCCACTTCAGTCCTCCAAGGTCTCACTAGATTATTTGCTACTTCCACCAAGATCTGTACCAATAGCGGCTCCATGCCGACTTACGCCAAAAACACTTATAAGCACACTATTGTACCTTTCTACTCACTAAAGTTTCAAAATGTATACCACAAGTAATATAAATCATTTTCTTTAGCGGCAATGATTAGTATACAACTTGAGCGCCATCCATTTTAAGGGCTAGTTGCTTCGGCTGGTGAGTTGCTGTACACTCCTCAGCGGATTTCGACTTCCATGACCACCGTCCTGTTATTTGAAGCAACTAACACCTTTTCATTATTTCTGTATGAGCTGTTAATTTGGGCACCGTAACATTACGTTTGCTTCATCCCACAGCGCCAGTTCTGCTTACCAAAAGTGGCCCACTTGCACATTATATCATAACCTTAAACCAAATATCAAGAAAGTTAAGGTTCTTACCCATTTAAAGTTTAAGAATAGGTTAAGATCGTTTCGACCCTAAGACCTCTAATCATTCGCTTTACCAGATACGATTATTTTATACAACAGTTAAGTGCACCGGAAGGAACCAGCTACTAGCTGGTTCGATTAGTGCCCCTATACTCATTTCTGACAATCAATTTGCCCGTCAGAACTGTTTCGGTCTTTCATCAGGGCTGCCCCTGACTTCAACCTGACCAAGTATAGTTCACCATATTTCGGGTCAAAGCATATGTATATGCTTAAGGTACTTTTCACTTAGAGTTTTAAATAATAATAATATCATTATACATAACTAAATAGAGCGCCCCGGAATTGCGTTAATTAACTATAAATAGTTAAAAAAAATAATAATAATAAATACGCTATATTATATCCCAATAATTAACTCAAATATCAATAATAATTATGTCATTATATAATTTCGAAAAATTAACGCACTGTAATCATATCAATTAATCATATATCAGAACTTTTTTTTAAATTTCTCTTATTTTATGTTAATGCAAGCATATAATTCAAATTAGCAATCAGTCATAATTTTATATTTATATTTATATAAATACTAGCGGGTATAACCCGGCCTTGCCCGTGGCACGTATGTTATAAAATCAAAAAAATGATTTTGAAACTGATCGGACGGGAATCAAACAACTTTTATGCAAATCGGAAAACTCTTAAAATTCACCAAAAAATTTTGCGAGAAATGTGAAACACGTCTCTAATGATTTTTCTTATAGATCTTTGGAAATAAATTTGAACACAAAACGTCATCCACCAAATCTTTGACCTCCATTTCCACCAAGGAGGAATGGATTTTTCAAAAAGTGTGAAAAACCACTTAAATGAATTTAAACATAGATCTTTAAATATGAATTTGGGGCCGATCGGATGGTAAACAAAAAACTTTCATACAACCGTTTTCCGTCAATTTACCACTGTTGCGGGTGGAATTTTCCAAATCGCTGAAATACGTACTTATTAAGTTCTTATGAAGAGCTTTAAAAATAAGTTTGAAGCAAATCGGTCACAACATAAAACGCCGCCCAAAAAATCTTTAAATCGCATTCTTCCCGAAGAAGTTTGAATTCTGCGAAAAGTGAGAAACACGTCTCAAATGATTTTTCATATAGATCACTGGAAATGAATTTGAGCGCGAAACGTCACCCACCAAATCTTTGACCTCCATTTCCACCAAGGAGGAACGGATTTTTCGAAAAGTGTGAAACACCCCTTAAATGAATTTGAACAAAGATCTTTGAAAATAAGTTTGAGGCCGATCGGATGGTAAACAAAAAAGTTACATACAAACGTTTTTCGCGATTTTTCCACACTTGCGAGTGGAATTTCCTGAAACCCCGTCTTAACGTGCACCTACATCACATAAAGTAACTACAGTGAAAATTTCAGCTTCCTAGCTCTTACGGTTTGGGCTGTGCGTTGATCACCAATCAGTCAGTCAGTCAGCCAGTCAGTCAGTCAGGACAAACAGTTTTATATATAGAGATTTAGGCTAATAGATTACTGTGCCGTGCTGCTGGCACCAGACTTGCCCTCCAATAGGTCCTTGTTAAAGGATTTAAAGTGTACTCATTCCAATTACAGGGCCTCGGATATGAGTCCTGTATTGTTATTTTTCGTCACTACCTCCCCGAGCTGGGAGTGGGTAATTTACGCGCCTGCTGCCTTCCTTAGATGTGGTAGCCGTTTCTCAGGCTCCCTCTCCGGAATCGAACCCTGATTCCCCGTTACCCGTTGCAACCATGGTAGTCCTAGATACTACCATCAAAAGTTGATAGGGCAGACATTTGAAAGATCTGTCGTCGGTACAAGACCATACGATCTGCATGTTATCTAGAGTTCAACCAATATAACGATCTTGCGATCGCTTGGTTTTAGCCTAATAAAAGCACACGTTCCAAAAGGTCCGTGTTTTAATTGCATGTATTAGCTCTAGAATTACCACAGTTATCCAAGTAACTGTTAACGATCTAAGGAACCATAACTGATATAATGAGCCTTTTGCGGTTTCACTGTTAATTCGTGTGTACTTAGACATGCATGGCTTAATCTTTGAGACAAGCATATAACTACTGGCAGGATCAACCAGAATAATGTTTTTTTAAATTTATATGTACAAAATATACATATATATTTATACAAAATGTATTTACATGACAACTTAATATATTTTTGAATAAAAAATATACTATAGATATTAATGTAAAATAAAAACGAATATGGCCATTATTACATAGCATTTCATGTTCGTTAATTTACGTTTCACATTTTTTTAAAAATTAACTACATATTATATCTATATGAAATATATATAATTCGTTCAAAAATATCTTTATAGGTACACTTACTTAATATATATTTTATCACACATTGTTTAATACCAAAATGGAAAAAACATTTTATTTTGATTACAAACTTGATAATTTATTTATATGTATATGCGACAAAAATATATTAAGTAAAACAAATCACATACTAAATTACATAGTATGTAAAATGTTAAAGTTTCATTTATAACAAATATTTAAATAATAATTACAAAACTTATTGAAACTTTTTTTTTTCCAACATACTAATCCGTCCATACATCTGTATGAATCGAATTTCCATTGGATGCAAATGTTATATTTTACGATAAAAGGAAACCCATTTGTTTACACGATGTAGTAATAAATCAAATTATTACAAACAACATATCTTGGCTTGAAATTTCACAATTATCTTTTTCTTAATATCGTAGCCAAGTGTTATACAACATAACAAATAACGATATAATTACTCAGACAAACGAGTATATGACATACTTTTAAAATTATATGCTTTCAGCATATAATGTGATGAGCACACACTGCTCACCATGAATAGGTTTTTTGACACATAATCTATAATGACGATATTTTTTCCAAATACAACCATTCACCTTATCTTCATCATGTACTAATTTAATAATACACTTATATAACTTCATTATTCTTTTATTTAAACATAATTGACTTATGCCGGCAAGGCAACACTCCACAGTCATATGAATTTGCCGTATATAAAATTTTTCATATGACATGCCTTGCGCCTCATTGATAAAAATTGATAATATGATCAAGAATGTTGTAAACTTAATTATCGGAATAGTTGATAAGTCATTACCTTGATTTAGGACAACTAAAATTATAAATATTTACTTGACACTAAGACTGAAAGTAATAAGTTCCGGCATATTTATCAGATTACATAATCGGCATACAATATCACACCAGAGTGTGTTGTTAAAAAATTAAAGATTAACAGAACTAACCTAGTCTTTAATAATTAATTAATGCTTACACATTTATGAGCCACGATCCCTTGCTGAGATTTTAAAATAATATAATATAATTATATTAATGCATAATTATGGCAGTTTTCCACATCAGATTTTTTGTCTTTTCTATGGAGAGGACTGTTAAACGATTCTTTGCATATGACAGGGAAAGCTGAAGTGCCAAGAGAAAACACAAAAAATATAATTTAAATATATCTGTACAAAAGCTGCTGCTCAGTATCTAAGTGCACATACGTGTGCACTATAATGAATCGGTAAGTACACCAATATTGAGGAATGACAATACCAATAACAAGTGATTTTTTATACCCTTGTAGTAGATTCTTTTATGGACACTTTTGGTTTATAAAAATATATTATCCTAACTCGGCTGTGCTAAGTTTCACTATAGCTGCACAATATTCTCATATATCTGAAAAGGGAAATGTTTACAAGGGGTATTGTTTTTCAAAACATTTTACCAAAACTAGGCATTTATAAGTTTGACCCCTATGAAAAATTTTACCAACATCGGATTACTAATTCAGCTAAGAAACTGCTAAAAAAAAACTAATTCATATCAAGATATACTGACCAAACTCGGAATTTGAACTATGCTGCTTACATAAGCCATTGTTAGGAAGAATCGGACGGAAAAATACTCTGTTTTCCCCGATATTTTCACTAAGCATTTACGAGCTTTACTATTTTCACATATCTGCAATCCCATAAGGCAAATGTCTTAAATTGTGTTAAATCTTCGGCGCGCTGAATATATCATTGCTTTTGCTTACTTACACTTAAAAAAATATGGCAGCAATTATATTTGTTGCAAACAGAGGTTGACCATCTAACACCACTCTTCGCGATAAAAGGGCTTTGTCGGTTATAACAAAATATAAACATCATCGAAGCACAGTTCGAAAATAGCATCATGTTGGTTATCAAAAGTACTGGACTTCCTGTTACATATATACGCACATAATCATGGCTATAGGTGTTATAAAAAATGAATCTGACTGGGCCGAGAAATACAAGCTTCTATGTTCAAAATAAAAATGAAGAGCCTATAATCACAACTATCATTTTATTCTCTCAATAACATATTTTACATTAAAAATAAATGTTTTTTTGTTTTTTTTTTTAGGGATCATTTTAATATATTATGGTTCACTTATTATAAGATTTCTTTTTTATTCTGGGACCTAATTTAAAACATTAAACGCGCTAGTCCCCATTCAAATGAGCTATATATACATATTGTAACCTTTTTCTGGTACCGAAAAATATAATTTAATGTTGTAGGTCCCTGGGTTCTTTCCTTGACAGTATCAACTGCTTGTATTCAAACAGTTGTTACTGTCAACAATTTTACGCCTTATGCACGGCTATAAAATAGCCGCGCGTCAGCACCAATGTTATCTAAAGCGTTCTCATACACTGGCTGTCCGAAATACGATTCGCTAGACAGTGTGCTGTATCAACAAACATGGGTCACAGGGCTAGCTTAGCTCTAAGAACATTTCTGTACATTTCTGTACTTAACTTTAGTTTGATTTTAATAATAAATCCGTTCGGAACTAAGGAACTTGCAGAACAACGAAAGTTTATTTTAGACACAAAAATCCGTATTCCTAAAACATAATTGCACTATAATTTTTTGTCATAATGTATTTTGATGTCTCGGATGCCACGAACGATTAATTTAATCGAACAATGTATGCATGTAGATGCATATACACTCCTATTCATTGGTTGCAGAAACTTTTCCTTTAACTTTTCTTTTACCTAGTATCAGGCATGTATTGATTGTCAAATTTCATTTAATCAGAGTTCGAACATTATTCGAAAAAATTGCACACCCAGTTGCTTGTCTGGACGAAGTCATCATATCCATTAGATCTGAGTTAACTTTTTAACAATTAATTTAATTTTAATTATATTATTATTTTGACAATTGTCATGGATCTTAAACAGAATAATTCATAACACTCGCCAAAACGTTAACTAAGGACACCTTACACTTTAGACCTACATATATGGAGCTGGCTTAACACCGCAAAGGAGAAAGACAGTATGAAGAGAGGAAATCGTTAACAGCAGCAAATTATCTTGCCTGGAGCGATATATCTTTGAACGTCATACATTCTGTACTGCTATATAAAAAAACAGTGTTTTTGAAGTTGTAAGACACCAAGGAGTCAACACGCACTACTGAACATATTTTTGCATTCTATTTTAATTAATTTATTTATTAAGAACGCGTAATCTTTTTTTTTCGTTTAAAAATAACACCATTTTTTTTAGTACCTTCCAGAAAAATTTATAAAACAAATTTTCTATACAGTTTTATGAATTTTCAATAATAAACATGTAAGAGCATTGAATAAACCAATGTTCTGTATAATTACAATTTTCTCTAATATCTAAGCTATTTAACTATTTTAAATATGGGCGCACCTTGCAGAGTATACATACTTAATACATACATATATGTAAATATGCATTTGTGTTAATCCCTTTAAAGAGGGAAAGCATTTCTTGTCCTTTAAAGATATGTATATCGTGAAAATTAATGACAGACTCAATTGAAAGCTTAATATCCTAATAAAATTCTCAATTGAAATTCTTAATAGCGTTTTAAAATATATATAAACTTAATTTTTACTGCCTCACCTTTCTTTTTTTTGCTTGGCCCTTTAGTGTTCACTAGCGTTGTCACTTGCAAAACCAACGGCTCTAAAGTTTTTTCGACTGACATGGTACGAATTTCTAAGTTTTTTGGATCCCATTTCAAAGCTATTTGACCAAAATCGGATAGTGTACCCATATTGAAATAAAACACTGTATATTTTATAGAAAAACGTTTCTTCCACTTTATTTGTAACTCGACGTCTCATGCACTGGATTAGTGATGACATCTTCTATGAATATATCTATAAAATCTACGAAATTAAGTCGGTTCGATCTTGACTTCTAATAGTTCGTTTTCACCGGCACTGAGTTTGCATCTACATCTAAAATCAGCATCGGCAGTTATAGCCTTTTTCCACTATGCTTAATATATGTCACATATTGTAACTTCACATATTGGTGTTCCATTGGCAAGTGTCAGTTGTCGGTAATACGTGAGTGGGAAAAGTACCGCTTTTTTAAATAAAATTCTGATCGAGTTTCTTTGATTTACGTAAGCGCCGCAAAGTTTTCCTTTCAAAAGTCATAAAACACTACCTCGAACTAGGGTCTCCATTTAATGGACTCTACGGGATTTGGTCATCTTTAAATGGTAAAAACTGTGGGATTATTAATATTTATAATTAAATTTCAAAGTTACCGCATAAGATCGCTGCTAAATCAGCTGTTTTTAGTAATGATAACTTCACAATTTTCACAACATCGATTAAAAGTTCGATAAATTATCGCCAAAAACACGAACTGTTCGGGGCGAATTTACACATTTTTCAAAAATGTTTAAGAAATGTGGACAGTGGAATAAGGCTATTACGTGTGGAAAACGAAAATATAAGCATTTATGCGTTTGTGTGCCTGTTGGTTGCCTGCCTGTCCCTTGCAAGATTTGAAGTTATTGGGGTTTCTGAATTTCGAGCTGTACACACACACAGACACAAATGTGTGTGAATGGGCAGATTATTGGCGCAAAAGAAAATTTTATTATTGGCACGCATCTGACGCGTGCCCTTCTTTTTTATGATTTTGGGTTTGAATTGATGCATAATTGTTGCACTTCAACGTTTGCTTATATCACTAACCAAAAAACATATAGACTGGACATGCCGTGTACAATAGGTGGTCTCCAAAAATTGGTTTGCATCTGGTCCAACGAGCGAGTAAGATATACATATGACATCTTTTGATCGCTCACACTACAGAAAACTCCTTTGGCTTACTCTCTTCCATATGATTTGTGCGATAGAACGGCATCGCTGTTTTTTATCTCGCTCCCACTACAGGAAACTGCTTTGGCTTACTCTCTTCCATATGATTTATGCGATAGAACGGCATCGCTGTTTATTTTTATCTCGCTCGCACTTACTCTCAGTGCTCTCAATGCTCTCTTCATGTCTAGGTACCGT